AGCGAGGAAACTAACTTCTCCGATAGAAGGTACGCTCGCTAGGTCATGAGTATAGAAGACCTCCCTTAAGTTGAAAATGAAGGCAAACTACAAGTGCTACAAACCACGATCACCTCCTCTGAGAAATATGCATATAACACCCACCTTCATAATGATGACCCGATGGTAATTATCGCCAAATGCGAAGAATGAAATATTAAAAGAGTGTTTGTGGACCAGGGGAGTTTCACATACATTATATGTTAGGAGGCATTTTAAAGACTTTGCCTTAATCTGAAAGATTTGGAGTAGTTTAGAGGTTCATTGGTTGGATTCTTTGGAGAACATGTACATTTAAAGGGACACATCAACTTGAATATCACTTTTGGAGAGCATGACCAATCCAAAGAGATAAAGATTAGATATTTGGTTATTTATTCCCCTATTCCTACAATATGATTATAAGGCAACCAACTTTTAACCAATTGGGTGCCACCTTATCCACTATATATCTATGCATGAAATACCCACTCCTAATGGGTGAGTAAGAGTTATATGACGAGATCAACAAATTACTAGGAAGTGTTACATATAGAGTCTCAAGTTGAAGAGGGTACGTACTCGGGATGTAAAAACAAGGATGGTAGGATCAAGAATAAAGGTGAAGGAAAAACCTGCAAGGACAATGAGGTCTCCCCTCCAACCGCTGAAGAGATTGAAGTCTGAAGGTCTAGAAGGGGTGCCCTCTAGAAACATTGGCATAATTGTCGTTCATTTATTTTTATTCTTGTTTGGATACTTTATTACCATGTTTAATATATGAGTATTACATATTTGCCGATTGAAAGACACCTTATTTCACGAGGTGCACTTTTTTCCCTCTGTGCTTTTTTATATAGGACAAGGGTTTTTAATGACACACACCATTTTATTTATTTATAACAATCTATATTTGTTAGATCTTCTTTTCTTTGCAGGAAACCTAAAAGCTCAAGATAAGATCACCCATGGAGGCGATCAATTCGCTGAATTCTTAAGTGAGATCCTTATCGCCCATAGAGATGATTATTTCACTGGATTCTCAAGGGGAATCCTTGTCTCCAATAGAGAGATTAATTCACTAGATCTTCAAGTAGGATCATTGCCACCAATAGAGGCGATTAATTTACTGGATCCTTAAGTGGGATCCTTTGCGCTAATAGAGGCAATCATTTTGTTGAATCCTCAAGGGGGAATTTTGGCGTCTATATTGGCGATCAATCCGATGATTCCTTCTGTAGGATCCTTGACACCCATATATGTGATCATTTCGCTGGATCCTCAAATGGGATCCTTGTCTCCCATTGAGATAATCATTTCACTAGATCCTTAAGTGGGATAATTGTCTCTCATAGAGACAGTCAATTCAATGGATCCTTAAGTGGATCCTTGTCACCCAAAGAGTCGATCAATCTTCTAGATCCATTCCATCCACTGAGGCAATTATTTTTGCTGGATCCTTAAATAGGATGTTTGCCACCCGCAAATATGATCAAATAGATGGATCCTTAAGTGGGATCCTTGTGTCCCTTGGAGGAAAACACAAAGTCAAATGCCTAAAAAGGGATCCTTGTGTCCCTTGGAGGAAAACACAAAGTCAAATGCCTAAAAAGGGATCCTTGTTAAGTCCCCTCGCAAGCAGTTAAATTATTGCAAGACAAACGATGATGACAGATCCCCTCAGCCAACTGCTGAAGGGTTAAAATCACACGAAGATAATTATAAAAGATAATGGTAAAGGTAGTTAACATAAAAGGCTCCCTCAAGGGGATAAATTGTTCATTACAAATATAAAAGCTCTCGAAGGGGCGAATAAGTACAATAAAAAACCTCTGAAAGGAAAAAGAAATGCAAAGCCACTAGGGACCGAGAAACAACCAAACCATCAATATTTCGCTTGAGTAATCCCCTTCTTAACAACATTATCTGAATTAGGGAGCCCAAAATCATCTCCATTTGTCTCCCCGCCCTTGTCATATGTATTCTCGACGGGGCAGGAATTTCAAGCTCTGGGAGGCCGCTTCCTCCTCATCCACTAGCTTGCCTATAGAGACCACTTTGAGAAAAATCTATTTGGCTCAAGTTTAGATCAAGGTAGAGAAAGAGGACATTCTTCTTGGAACGCTCGAAATAGATGCCATAAGTAGACACCACCTCATTGGTAAGCTCTAACACCGTCTTTTTTAACTCTTTCATGCGAAGGAGGGCGATGTCCAAGAATTCTTGCAGGGATTCCTTCTAAGCATAGATTTATTTGGCCTTGGGTTTTACATCTTCTATTTTCTCCTCCAAATTTTCCTTGTATTTCTTAAGGGACTTCAACAACCTCATGCTCTCTTTGTAAGCATCCACCTGCTTCTAAAGCTTGTCCTCAAACTCTTTCTCAACTTTATCACGCCTTTCTTGGTTGACATCTTGAAGCATGAGCGTCCTCAACAAAATATTGTCCTTCATGTTCACAATTAACAAAGTCAATTTGGAATGAAGGGCTTTGTAATCAGTAGATAATTCCTTGGAGAAAGGGAGGTAATAACTTTTTAATCAGAGGATGTCTAAGCCGATATTGCTCCACAAACTCTTAAGAGGCTAGGGAGCCTCACTTGTAGGGGAGCTTGAGTACTCACCTTCCCGGCAGCAGGAGAATGACCTTACTCCAGCCTTTGAGCCTTCCTGTTGGGCGACCATGGAGTTAGGTCCTCAACTTACATGTTATTCCCCTTGACATTGAAACCCTCGGGGTGACTCTGAGGATTGTTGGTGCCCGAACTAACACCTATGAGCTTCTCCATCTTTCGCCTCCTCTCATTAAATAAATTCTTTACATTTGATATGCAAAACAATGAGTAGAAATCACAAACGTTATCTAAAAATGCCTATAGAGGGGACGAGAATATGCGAGTTACCTAAGTAAGTGAAGATATGTTTGTCGCCTCACAACCAAAGTCTAATCGCTTCATAATAATCCATAACATTGAACTGCCATAAAATATGGATAATACTCCTCTCTTTGAGGGTAAGAAAAGCCTAATCATATCCTGTGATCACCACATGATCATCCGTCCAAGATAGGAGAACGAGAGGGTCACATCAGCTCCTAACATACCGAGGGAATCATCTCACCCTCTCATACAGACACACTTGTATTTCCAATAATTATAGAAATTAGAATGAGACGCAAAAAGGGCCTTCCCAAGATGAGTGCTCAAAGAAACCCACCTATCCTTTGTCGGTTTGGTGGTGCAGAAAGAGAAAAAGACTCCCACGGTCGGAGTAACGACCAGGTCTTCTCAGACCATCTCGAAAGCCGTGATTAACTCCAACTATTAGGGAAAAACTGGGAGGGCGTAACGTTGAGGGCCTTTAAGACCTCCATGGAAAAGGGGAGAATGGGGGAAAAGAATCTCATTATCCTTGATGAAATGGAGGTAGAATTAGAAGTATGTGGAAGGGAGGTTGACAGAGACGAACATGGACATCCTGTCAAATGGTGAGCAAGCCTTCAGAAGTATAACTAGATTATAACTCGCCAACATCCTTAGACACGACAGAAGAGGTATACATTATCCCTTTTGTTCCTGAGAAAATAGTAGAATAAAAAGAAATCACCACCACCGTTACTCGTAAAAAAGAGGGGCAACTAACCTAGAACCCTATGCTTAACCTAAACCCACTCTCGAATGTATCTTCGTAAATTCTATTTGCTACAAAAAGCAAGAGAAAGGGAAATTCATACTTGAAAGAAGGTTGTGAAAAAATAGATGAGAAGTTGAGTAGTTTAGGCAAGCTTGCAAGAATAAAGTGTCGAATGGAACAAACAAAATGAAAGAAGGATCCTTTGAACTCCCCCCATGATTTTGAAAAAACTCAGCATATTTCTGACATGTAACACTAACGTTTAAGGTCTTGAAAAACAGGTCATCAATGTTTACATTAAATGGAAATAAGTGTGGCCAGCTGAATGATTGATTGACATTTCCATCTGACTTTCTTTAGCTAAGCAGGAGACAACTAGCAGCTGACTCGTTCCTCAAGATAAATAATCGTCTTCAACTAAGAGACTCGCTCTTTAATAAATAATCGCCTTAAACTGAGGGACTCACCCTTTAATAAATAAATAATCACCTTCACCTATGGGACTCGTCCGAAGTTGAGGGACTCACCCTTTAATAAATAATCGCCATCAGCTAAAGGACTTAATGGAAGGGCGATGGACTTACCGCAAATGAAAAAAAATCCTTAAAAACACTTCTTCCTTAGCAAAGTCCCATGCTTGAGAGATTATATAGTATTATATTTGTGAGTGTCCTAAATTATGACGCCTTCGGCCAAGAGTTGTACCTCCTAAGCGATATCCTCAAGGCTCACCCTTGGTACTGATGACGTGTGTAATGCCATTATTCAAAGGATATGGAATCCACACCTACTCCCTAAAGTTTAAGTGGTCAACAAATTCTCCTGATCACGAGGGAGCGGATGCCGCCCCTTAGGGTTACCCAAACCCTAGGCTCAAATACCTCTATAAGTACTCCTTTCCTTACAGAGAGAAGGACAAATCTTATTACATACAAATCACACTCCATATACGCTTACACCTAAGCATACCACTCAATAACAGAATATCTCAGCTTACGTGAGTAGTGTCTTTACACCACCATAAAACACTATTATACATGCTTTTCACCGTAGACAAATTCTAACCACTATACAATATAATATACTTATTACAAATTCCTATATCCTTTTACGAGGAACACATGTAATTTTTAACCAGAAGAATATGTCTCATATGTATGAATGTCATCTTGCTCTATAAAAATATTTATGCTTAAATGTATCAAAATTAATTTTATTTCATTTTAGATTTTAGAGAAATTCATAAATTTATTTATTTGTTTTATTTTCTTGTTTTTCAATTATTCATATAATTTCTTCTACATAAAAAGAGCTATTGTTTTGTCTCTTGCTCAAAACTCAAAATCTGAATGGAACCATTAGCATCAATCTACGAACACGAAAACGATGACATATTTACCGAAGCACTTCACCTCTGTTCCGTCGATTCAATCCCGGAAACTTCCACCTCCGATTCCACCCTTTCACATTCTAAACCCATCTCCTCCGAACCTCACGATCCCCATTCCAACCCACCCTCTCCCTCTCCGGCCACCACACTCCGCCGCCGCTCAATTCGTCTCAGAAACAACCAATCTTCCGATTCCACCATCAATACCGATTCGACCAATGTCACAAAAAGAAGCTCCCGACATCACCCAAGGGACATGAATCTCAAACAAGATGAGAATTTTACCACGAAACCCTATCCCGATGAAGCGAACAACGAGGACTCCACCGTAACTACAGCTACGAATGATGCTGAACACGACGATTCCGCTGTTTCGGCTTTGCGAATCACCGATTCGAACTCGAGTTTTCTCGAATTGATAGTAGGGTTAGTGATTAAGGCATTAGGGTTTCAAATCAAGTTAATCTTTATGTTTGTAAGTTTTCCATTGCTATTCATGTTTCGTTGTTTGTTGTTTTTCATGGATCCTTTTGGGACAAGAAGAATATGCAAAAATGTTTTCTTTGGGATTTTGTGCAGAGTGTGGAATGTTGTGTTTGGATGTATTAAACCCTATGTTAGCAAATATTTTAGAGGGCATGAATCAATTTGGAGTGTAATTTTTAGGTTTGGCTGGGGATTGTTATTGGCAATTTATGTTTGTTGTATTTTGATTGGTTTGTTAGTTTCTTCGTTCGTGTTTAGTGGGTTTTTGATGAAGTGTTTCGTGGAGAAGCCAATTCAGATGAAGGAGGTTTTGAATTTTGATTATACTAAGCTTAGTCCGGTAGCTTATGTTCCTATAATATCATGTGATGGTGTTGTTGGTGGGAAAGATTCGGAGAATAATGTTCAAGTTGGGAAGTTGGCGATGATGGGTGAACGGGTTATACCTTCGAAACACAAAGTACAAGTTACGGTTTCTTTGAGAGTGCCCGAGTCGGGATACAACAGAAATCTTGGAATCTTTCAGGTGCTTGCTTATCTCTATCTGTTTCGTTTCGTTGTGATTTGAATTTGGCTTGCTCATTGCCATGAATTTGGCTTGCTCATTGCCGTGAATTTGGCTTGCTCATTGCCATGAATTTGGCTTGCTCATTGCCGTGAATTTGGCTTGCTCATTGCCATGAATTTGGCTTGCTCATTGCCGTGAATTTGGCTTGCTCATTGCCATGAATTTCTCTGTTAAGTTTTGTTAACTTTATCATTATGCTGTTTTACTTCTTCAACATATTCTCTGAATTCAAAGAGCAGTCATCAATTTAGTATTTTCAATTGTAGGAGTAGACAGATTGATCCTTGAATTACCGATGTTCTAAAATCAATTTCTGAAATTGAAAATCTTCTATAATACAATTTTAGTAACTTATAACAGACTCAAGATGGCTTATGTGATTGAAAAGTTTCATTTTTAAAGATCACTCATAAATTTGAATAATTTAAAGGACTATTTTGCTCAAACCCTATAATATTGAGGACTAAAACAGTGATTCACTCGAATTTAACTGTTTATGGTACAAACTGACTTCTTGTGATACACTGTCATATTTTTTAAGATTTGTATTTCTTACACATCAATCTATAAAGGGGATACTTTTTTTTTATGGTCATTTTATTATTTGATTAAGAAAGGAATTATTTGTCTGGTGATGTAGAAATTGTCATTTCTTTGTAATTTTGTTTTTGTATCATACTTTGAATCTTGGAGAAGTCAAACTGCTGATGCTAGTTGCAGTTTCAAGTTTCTTACTTTTGTGTTTCTTTGTTTTTTATAGGCCAGGGTGGATTTTCTGCTGTCTAGTGGTAAAAAGATTGCAAGTTTGAGTCAACCTTGCATGTTAAGGTTCAAAAGTGAACCTATTCGCCTAATCACGACTTTCCTCAAGATTGCTCCTCTCATTACTGGCTATACATCTGAAACCCAGATTCTGAATGTCAGGATGAGAGGGTACGTTGAAGGGAATATACCTACTTCGTGCTTGAGAGTGACACTCGAGCAACGACCAGAGTATCAACCGGGTGCTGGCATTCCTCAAATATATGATGCATCTCTTGTTGTCGAGTCTGAACTTCCTTTTTTCAAAAGGATCATTTGGCATTGGAAGATGAGCATATTTATTTGGATTGCAATGATGTCGCTCTTCACAGAGTTGATTTTTGTTCTAGTATTTTGTAGGCCTATAATAATTCCAAGAACAAGGCAAAGGGTAGCGGCATCTGCTCTTGGTCCTGCAACTTCAGCCAGTCTTCAGGCACAAAGTTGAGACTTCTGATTTCCATGCTTTGTTGCAATGATTGAAGTAAGTTTCTGTCAACAGTTTAGCCTTGCATATTCTGACTTGTAACCTATGTAGTATATGTTTAGTGAATAATCCTAACATCTCATTCTTTTATTTTTCCTTCTCTTTTAAATTTCATTTGTAATCACGATGTAAATTTTTAATGCCATGTTATGTATATTGTAATTATTTTGTTTTAATGTCAGAAATTGATTTTTTGCTAACCTGTTGCTGCGACAATGAAGAAATTATTGTAGTCTATGAAGTGAGCAAACTTATTTAATCAACGACACAAATGGACGAATGGTAGGATTGTTCATACATCCATTCAATTATCGCATGTGGTCCATAATTGAGCTGAACTTAACACCAAAATGCATGAAAGATAAGACAAATATACACTTTTATAAACCCTCTGCTTATTCATTGGACAAAGCTCCTACATTTCTTACAGATTGATGAATGGTAAGAAGAATATGCACTTTTTATGTATCCGTATAATGACAATCGTACCCGGATCAAAACACTAAACCCTAGTACTTGACGAAAATTTATAGGCACGCCTGGATTTACTGTGAAATCCTTTGACTCTGTTATGATATGCTCCGTCTGAGAAAAGGGACAATCTTTGTGAGTTCAATCTTGGTGTGCTCATCACACATTGGCCTGTTGGTGTGCCTGATGAAATTGTAAGTCCATGTACCTATCAAAGCTCCTAGAATAGGTGAAATCAAATATATCCACAGTCCTGTATATTCATGGTACACAATTGCAGGTCCTAAGCTTCTAGCTGGATTCATTGATGCTCCCGTGAGTGGTCTGCAAAATATAATTTCACGCACGTATTTATATAGTATATTTGATGTACAAACTACATTTAATAATTTATTCTCTTAGGACTAGAGATAAGTTTTTACCCTGCAAACAATATATCTATTATTATTGTAGATCCAACTGCAAGTCCGGCTAATTCACCTACCTGCACAATTAAAAATTATAAAGAAAAGCCATTAAATGAGGTTTGAAATTATTTGAATTATAAGTTTTGATGCGCATGGCATTTGGTTGCGTGTTGTGATGTAAACTTCTACCATTTTATTCAATAAATAATCATCAAGTATTTGATGACATTTATGAGATGCATACCACTACTATTTTGAAGAATTTTTCCAACTTAATTGCTTCTTCCAAAAGATATATCAATATATTTGATGATCATAAATCAGTCAACTGAAGTAACCAATAAAAAATTCTTAATAAAAATGTTTTATAAGAAATAAAAGTCAATATGAACATAAAACATTACTGCTCTGTTATCGGTGGCTACTCCAGAAATAACGAACATAAGGAAGAAGGTGCATATAAACTCGATTACGAAAGCTTGCAGGTTAGAACCAGCTGCGAGTGTTCCAATAAAATGATCTTCTTTGCCATTAAATATAAGTCTTAGAGTCCCACTAGCTAGTGTTGATCCAAGGACTTGAGCTATAATGTAAGCTGGCACCTTAAACATAACCAATGACAATAATGTTAAGACAAATTTAGACAATTAAGTGTTTTGTTTTGATATGAAATATATGCATTTCAATTCACCTGTTTGAAGGGAAATATTTTAGTTGAAGCATGAGCTATGGTAACAGCAGGATTGAAATGAGCACCAGAAATATGACCAAGAGAGTAAACCAATACCATAACGGTAAATCCCCAAGCGAAAGCGATTCCAGGAAGTGTTACTACATGATCATTGTTTAGGTTTACAATGACTGCGGCGCAACCCGTAAATATCATTATGTATGTTCCTACGACTTCTGCTACCAACTATATTAAAAAAAAAAAAAATACAGAAAATAACTAATTTCAATGAGTTTTGTACAATGAAGGAAAGAAGAGTTTAGAAAGAGATACCTTCTTCAAAAGGGGCACAGAGTCTTTTATATCCGTCTCCTTAGGGATATTTGAGGCATCACCATCTACATCTAAAACTACCTCATGAGCTTCAATGCTGTCTGGATTATCATCCACCATTGACAAAGAATAGATATAAATATATTATACGAATGAAGCTGAAAATTGTGCTAGAAGAAGGCTCTGCTTTTGTCCAAGAGTTTTAGGAGAGAAAGAACCTAATTTATAGGCACCTAAAAGTCATAGAAGAGTATGACATAGAGGATATAAAAAAAATTTGTTAAAAGATTCTACTCCTTTAAATTATTACTTATTTGGTGTATCTTGTTGGCAAGTTAAAATTATATTTATGATCAAGAAAATTTCTTTTTATTTTATTATCTCGTTAAACCAATTCAATTACATATCAAACATATAAACACGGATTCGAATTCACGACATTTTATACGATAAATTTTAATTAAAATGAGAGTATAATAGATTACACTGTATTATCCATTTAGGTTGTTTGTTTTGACACTCTATATCCCTAGTCATTTTATACGTTTTTTCGTATAGTTTAATTAGGGTGCTGCAAATACATCTGTTGCTCCAAAAAAAAGAAAAAGAAGTATTGATCAAAAAGTATAATTGAAAGAATAAATTTAAAAACCGTTATATATTTACAAATTATTTACACCATTCAGCTCTAGAAGAAAACAGTTATATGGTGGAAACAGTGGAAATGTAATTAAAAAGTATATTTACAAATTATTTTGTAAAAGCATTATATATTTTAGTTTCTAAATTTTTTTATTTATTTAAGTTTTGATAGTTTTTTAATAAAAATAATTATTAAACTGATTGTTTTGACTATTAAGAAAAAAAGAGAGCAAGTATTAACTCCTTTGATTTGCAGAAACCTCAAATTATTAGTTTATTTCAGTTTCCACTGATTCATACTGATCTTATCAATTAGATTGCATGATCGATCTAATAGCTAATTTAAACCAGAAATCCTTCTGATTTTCAATTTGACTGATTCAATTGGTCGATCCGAACTAATTTTTAAATACTAGTTTATATTACTATATATGTTTTGTGAGTAATCTTAAGATCTCAATCTTTTATTTATCCTTCTATGTTCATATTCATTTGTAATCACAATGTAGATTTTAATGCCACGTTATGTATAATGCACTTCTTACGTTTTAAAATGACTATCGTTTTAATAAATAAATTTTGTTTTAATATGATTGTTATTTTCACTTTTTAATGTAATATTGATTATTATTTTTTCAATTATGTTTTTTACTTTTTACTCTCTACATTATTTATAATATATTAATAGAGTTAATTTTGTAAAAGTGTAATTTCTTATGAGAATATTATTTCATTTATTAATTTATATGCAAAAACTTTAAACGGCAGTCATTTTAAAACGAAATAAATATTTTATTTTGTATTAATTTTAGTGATTTCATTTATTTTACTCGTAGAATTTCGAATGGAGCAATTTTGAAAAGACAAGGTTCCTATTCTCGACCATTTTTTAAGGATGTGTTTGTTTGATTGATACAAATAGGATTTTTAAAAATGTGAGGTTGAAAATCTCATATTCTCATGTCTGTTTGAAGTTTTAACAGATTATTCTTTAGTACTTTTTATTCTTTAAAATATAATTTACTCTTGAAATTTTAGAAATTTATTCCTATGTAAAAGAGTGAGCATCTTACATTTTCATGGGAATAATAAGTAAGCAACTATAACTATTCATTTATATATCATTTTAACATTTTTGTATTTATTTTTAAAATTATAAATAAAATAAAATTTCAAAATATTCTTAAGAACCTAAATAACTTGTCAAACAAATTGATGGAAATTATATTCCAAGCAATATTATTCCTAGGAATAACATTCATAAGATTGTAAATTTAATTCATCAAACAAGCACACCCTAAAAGTCATGGTTATAGCTTTTTAGAGGGTTAAGGAACAAATCAATTAATTTATGGGGAGAACTTCAAAAACATTTTTTTAGCATTTCACAACATATCAAAGGAAGTCAAAGTAAGTGGAAAGTCTAGGATTCATTAGGCAAGGGAAAAACGAATCACTGCAATCCTACATTAAGAAGGTTCAATGAAGAAGCCATACTAGTAAAAAATGTTGATGATGAGATGAAAAAATATTTATTAAATCTCGGACTCCAACTGGGATCTAAACTCTTTGAGCCCCAAATATTTTCAACAATGTATTCACAAGGGGGGATAAGTATATACAATACGAAAAAATGGCCATTTGTAAGGCCATTTACGATGGAGGGTTCAAGAAGACGGAGACAAGCAGAAGGATATTTGAAGAGACCAAACAAGGAAATGAGAAAAGGGTAAAGCTAAGAAAGATCCCAGGTCAAGCTCTGAGAGCAAATGCACACTACTGTCAAAATATCAGGATTATACCCTTTTGAACTCATCGAGAGAATTCATGTTGCAATAATGTATCAACACATAATTCTAAGAAGAGAAAATCGAAACACCAAAACCTATCCAGAAACGTTTAAGGGTTGATGAATCCCGATACTTTCGTTTCCATAAAAGTAACAATCACAACACATATGAATGCGTACAATTGAAAAACACCATTGATGACTTAATCATGAAATGAAGGTTATCTAGATTTCCCCCCAAGATAAGATCGAATCCAAATAAAAGAGGCTAGATGAGATAAGCCAACAAAGGAGAAGAAATGAAGTGGACCTAGTGGATAAAATGGAGAAACAATTTGACAGTAAAGAAGAAAAATAGATGTCGTTGCATACACTGTCACCGGAAGAACATTTAGTGATTGTAAAAGACTACCAATTCTAATGAATGTTTGAGGCATAACCACTCGTATATTGGAAGGCAATCCTTTTTAATGCCAAAACATAACCAGGTGACACGAGGGAAGCATTAGATGAAATCTCGCAAGAAAAGAGCATGTTGATTACAACGAGAGTGGTTTCAGGAGGATTCCCTCATTCATTTGTACCTATTCTTCGCACTCATGGGAACGCTGTACAACATATCCTTACAATCTCTTGGAAATTTTTTGGGGTCTTCCAATATTAAATAAACTCTTGATCAAACGTGTGAGACCTGCGTATTCTTTCACTATTCAAATTGAAAGACGATTAAATAGAGACAACTGTCATACCCCAAATTTGTCCCACCCTTATATTATATTTAGGTTTCTTTTTTAAATAAATCGTATTGCGTAGTTTTTTATCTCTATGGGGGGGGGGGGGGGGGGGGGTAAAACATGGAAAAGGGGTGTGTTGATTTAAAGTGGCCCATCAATATCTGATGGTTCATTAGGTCTTTAAAAAAAAGGGGTCCATTTCAAGTTAAAAAGGGAGATGCATGCTAGTGAGAAAATCTTAGGACATTTCTAAATCAGAATGGCCCATTCAGATTGAGTGGTGTATAAAATAATTTATTTTATTTGAAACCTAATACAATTGAGTCATAAAACCCATTTAGGTTTTTTTTAGCAATCTGTTTTTGTTGAGGCCCAATAATGAGACAAAATGGCCCAAACTAGCTTTTTTTTTGTTTATTTTGAAATTTTGTTTTATTATTAATTATAAGATCATTATTAATAATATTACTATTTTATTATAATAATTATTATTGTTGTACCCAAAAATTTTCTCTCCCATTTTCAAGATAAAATATTTCAATAGGTCTCCTCATGCTCATGAAGGTCTTAAACACTCAAGACTACTCAAGGGTTGACCAAATAAACTCTTCTCCTAAGCAATTGATCTACAACTAGGGTTTTGCTTTTCTCAAAGAAAATTAAGTTTCTATTGCCTCAAGTAGATTTCATGGTTCCTTATATGCTTCAAAGAATCCCCATGCCAAGTTTCAAGCCTTATATCACAAGTGTGCTCAGTAAATTAGGCAGATGATTGAAAATCAACTGTATTGGACAACAAGTCAACTTTGACCAATTTACAGTCAAACTTCAAGATTTTTGGTCAACATCAAGATTTTGAACTCACATTCATTATTTGATCAAGGGTTGATCATGATTAATCAAGAAAACTCAAGATTCATCAAAAGTCAAAAGTTACTAGATTAGGGTTTTCTTAAGGAGAAGTCAACTGAAGTTTGACTAAACATAACTTTCACATACTTCATCAGAAATTCCTTAACCAAATCCTATCTTGAAGGAAGTTTAATTATTTACAACTTTTGTCTCTATAAGATAAAGGCCAAAAAATGCTTCATTTGAGAGATATGAACCAAAACATTATAGGTCATTTTAAAAGTCAACAAAAACACATTTTTTGTCAAAGCAATTTACATAAAGATAAAGGCTTCAAATGAAAATATGACCAACATGAAGGTTGTATGAGACATTTTAATGTTTCCAAAAAGTCCAAGATCATCTTCATATGACAAAAATTAAGAGAGTTATGATTTGTGCAAGTTGAGTAATTTTGAGAAAGGCATGAAACCTAAATTGAGCAAAGTTGAATATTTAGGCTAATGGGCCTAATTTCTTAGGTTCAAACGTGTTCATGACCTCATATTAGACTTCTAAATCCATTCACATATTTTTTATGAGTTTTATTTATTTTATTTGGATTTTATTCATTTAAATGCAAATTAAATCAAATAAAATGTGAAAGCATTAATACAAGGCGTGTTGACCTTTGTTCTAATCATGTTGGAGGCCCAAAAATCTACCTCGAAGCTCAAAAAACTGCGTGGCCTATGTTTGAAACAAATCTTCATAGTTTTTGAAGATTTGAACTTATTTTCAAACAAAATCAAAGATATGATTTCATGAGATGTCCAAGCCCAAATGTTGACCTAAATCACTCCTCTATATATACCCAACATTTTCAGACAACAATGACCACGCATGCAGCCTCCAGAAGAACCCTAAAAATTCCAAATTTTCTCAAAACTAGGGCACGATCAAACCCTTGTCTCCAATTGTTTTTAATCCATTCCAATCATCACACTGGCCTCCTAAAGGTCTCATGAGCTCATCCCAACCATTGCTGAAGCTTGAAGCATCTCAAAATGCACCAACCAAGTTGCACCGATTTGGTATCTTTCTTCAATCTCAAACTTTTTATT